TGTGTGTGTGTGTGAATGTGTGTGTGTGTGTGTGTGTATGTGTGTGAGTGTGTGTGTGTCTTTGTGTTTACGGGGCCATTAGGGGGTGATTTTGAAGAAAAGGAAAAAGGGAACAAAAAACGAGAAGAAAGGTGGAAAGGAAACAGAAGACATGAAAGAAGCAAAGTATACTTAGACAATGTAAGAAAATATGACGAAAGGAAAGTAAAAGGGGTAATAGAAGAGGAAAATAATAATGTAAACGAGAACGAAAGACGATAAGGGGGGTGGGGGTAGAAAAAACTGAAAGTAGACAAAAAATTGCTTCAAGCTCCAGATTTGTTTCAAGTGCCGTTGATAATCGTGTTCCAGTCCATTCTTGCTTTAGAGTACCCTCATTAATACAATTGACTGGTCTTGAAGTTGTCCATTGTGGCCCAGTTGTTAAGATTATGAATGAAAAAATGCTTTTTTTCTATAGCTTTCCTAAACATGTGCTTTTGTTTATGGTGAGTGAAGGAGAAGAGGATAAAAAAGGGAATAAGTATGTGAGAGTGTGCGCAAGTGTATGTTTGTGCCAGTGTGCACGTGTTATAGTGTGTGTGTTCCTGTGTGTGTGTTTGTGTGTGCGTTTGTGTGTGTGCGTTTGTGTGTTTGGGTGTGTTAGCATGTGAGTACGTGTTTTTACGTGTGTGTGTGTGTCTGTGTGTGTGTGTGTGTTTGTATGTGTGTATGAGTGTGTGTGCATTCATGAGTGCAAATGTGTATGAAAATAGGAGAGAGAATGAGGACAAAGTATTTGAAAAGAAGTGAGGGTGTTCAATGCATGCAGACGTGCAGCATAAAGTGTTCGGTGGAGATAGTTAACTCTCGTTATTTCGCCAGGAAGGAATTTGAGCGTGTGTTTGGGCTTGTCGATACACTTTTCATGGCGAACAACTTGTAATCCCATCGCGAAATGGGAAGTGGTTGCTATCATGAATTAGTTGTAGTTCTTAGTCTGTTGCATAATACCTAGAGCGCATTAACAATCGAATTGAGTCGAGACCAGCCAGATTTTCCTTCGTGGAGTGGCAAAGCGACCATTTTGACACAAAATACACTCGATTAGACAAGCGATGTTAAAAAATAAACACCTCTGAGTTCGAAGATCACAATCGAATTTGTTGAATGTTTTCCTTACTGAAGCAAAGTCTGGCTGGCCCGTTTCAATCTAAAGAATTCGATTGGCAGTGTGAGGAGACGACTGAATTACGACAGTCGTGAGTGAAACTACATACAAGAGGCACGTCTTTTAACCGTCGACAATGTATTTGGAGGAGGAACAAGAACCCTTAATGTATTGGCCAAGTTTTCTTAAACACACACAGCTGGGCAAAACGTGTTCTCGAAATATTCATTTTAAAGCAAATATAGCAGTACGATATTTTGTACATCTCCATATTTGCCTGTACATTGACCACCACAAAGGCAAATAAAATTCGCAAGAAGTCATTTTGAAAACGTTGTTACCGTACATAATATATAAAAGGTCACTGCCCAGTGCAGAATTGTTAAAACCAATCTGGGCGATATCACCCACTAATGGGCGATTTGGTAATTTTGGTGGATGGTAGGGATCACCTGGGTAGCGACAGGTTTTATACTATAAAGCCCCTTTTGGAAATACACGAAGGTGCTCAGTTCGAAAAGGTTAGCCTTTTAAGGTGGCAAACGTGGACGCTGGCTATCAAAATGTTGACAAGCACAGCTGGAGCAGAGGATAAATCTACTACAGCTGAAGCCGCTGGTGTGATGTGTTGTTTCAACCTATGCTCTCCCTTCCCCGGAAGGTTAAATTTGAATTGATCAGACATCCAACAAGGGTCCCTTAATTCGAACTCAATGTGTCGAGAATGAAACTGTCGATCCGTCCCTTAACCGGTAACAAAAGACCTGTAAAAATGAAGAATAAATGTGTACATACGGGCGTGTCACAGGTGCTAAAATGGTGTGTCAACATGGAAACGTGTGGCAGCTTAAATGTTGCATTAATTAGGTTTTGGTAGAGAGGGGACCTTTTAGCGGGATACGCCGGGACATTTGGACATGATCAGGAATGAAACGTCTGAGCAATAGCAACTTGCAGACAGAATGCAGACAGAGAGTCAAATAGATGAGAGGGCAGACAAAGAGACAGATAAACAGGCAACTTGAGTCGTAGACAAACGTGTGGACTTAAAACGATGACTGAAAGACTTTTTCTTCTTCTTCTTCTTCTTCTTCTTCTTCTTCTTCTTCTTTTTCTTCTTCTTCTTCTTCTTCTTCTTCTTCTTCTTCTTCTTC